TATTCACCACGAACAAATTTGTTGTGTGTTACGTTTTTGGATTTTGGGCTTCAATCTAGTGTTTAATATGTGGTGGTTCTGTGGAAAACTGTTGTCAGGACCATGCATATTCTTAAGATTAGTCAGTGTTGGCCCGGACAACATGTGAGAAGTCTACAATTAGCAGCTAGATTATCCGGTGCTAAAATAGAAAAGTAAGACAAAAGTAGTTGAACGTACAGTGAAATAAGGGAAACTTTACACTTTGGGACACTTTCTAGTGAAATAAGGGAAACTTACACTTTGGGACACTTTCTACAACTTTGTAATAAATACCCTAAAACACACACATTTTCCTTATATTTCCGTCTTTTTCTACTGTTCGTAAAAAGTTAATATTATATTGCCCTTGAACTAGATGTGTAATGAAAGGGAATCAAACTAAAAGTTGTGGGAACCGTTAGATTAAATGTGTCCAATTAAGATCAGATGGTTGAGGTTAAAAGAATCTTGTTTTGAATCTTGGCCATTAATAGGAATAAAATCGTACAAATGTGATTGAACTCAGATAAATAAATAAATTATAGTCCCCTCTATGTTTTGTTTACTCATTTTCTATATTATGAAAAACATAAAATACAATATATCATAAATATAAACTTTCGATCATTTTAAGATCCATTTTAGTATATTTTAAGTATCAAATACGAAATTTCATGCACTCCAACATAAGTATTTCATTTTATGTTCATTTTGTTTAGTCATTAAAAAAAAAAAATTAATAATGTATTTTCATTTTTATAATTTAATTAAATTATATAAATTAATATTTGACTTGTTTATCTTTAATGAGATGAACTAATATACTATTTGAAAATTTATCTTCTGACATTCCTATGTAATATCTTACATAGGGTATATATATATCTTACAAAGGACAAGGTTATTTTCTTTAATGTACCTGTATAATAATACTATACGATATATATATATATAAGAAAGTATTGTGTTTAGATGTTTTTTTTTATTACATGTAAGTTGGTTTTTTGAGTCTTTTGGGGTCAAGTTCGATCTAAATTGCAAATTTTAATCTGGCATTACTAAAAACTTTTTAAAATTATGTGAATTTAGAAAAACCATAAGTGGCAAATATGTCCCTCTTCAACAGAACCTGTCCCGCTGGACGCTGGTCCTCACTAAAGCTTACATTAATTGTAACAGTCCAAGACAACTTTGTTGTATCCTAGCGTTGATTTACTTATTCTGCGATAGGTGAGAAGCAGCCTTTAAGTTCTTTCTTTTAGTTTCATGGCAACATCTCGAGTGACCCATTTAATTGGTGCTAATTAAGTCAATATACTCACTACTCAGAAATGAATCTCACATTGTCTATTAGTGGAGAATACGACTTATTAAAATCACATGTATTATTTATCAAAATATTTTTACATATTTCTTCTCTTGGTTAAATTTATTGGTTTATATCTGATTCGTGAACTGATCGTTTCGGAAAAAAAAAAAAAAGAAAGGAAATCGATAAAATTGTTATAGAATTTGTATTCAAATCTTATTTTTATCTACAATTTAGAATTCATTCAACAATTCCATGGGGAAAAAAAACTGAGACAGATTTTTGCTTGCAACATCTCTACACAGAATCCTCACTTAAGACACCTTCCATTGTGGAAAAGTCGTAACGTACCAATTTTTCAACAGAAGTAGCCTTTGATTTATTTATTTCCAGTCTCTTGGCTACATCTCGAGTGACCAATTTAAGTGGTACTAATTAAGTCAATAGTCTCACTACTCAGAAATGAAAAACACTATATAACTATGCTCCCCATAAGTTAAATTAAAGACAGTACTACTACTCTCTTGGTCCTTACAATTATTTTTCTTTCTTTGTCAAGTATGGAACAGAAATTGCTTTTGGTAACTAACTCGGGTAGTGTTCATGATTTATACTCTCTTATTCGAGCGGAGCCAAACATTCTTCACAACTTGGATGTTTTACCTTTCATCCACACGCCTCTCCATGCAGCTTCTTCTGCTGGGAAGATAGATTTGGCAATGGAACTGATGATACTGATACAAGATTGGAATCACTCCAACTTTAGATCACTTGATGATCAAGAGATTCCAAGCTTTTCACGCGGAAGGTGGGATGATGAAGGTGGTGATCTGACACGATGGCGGTCGCTTCTCTCGTGTGGGATCGATTCAAGGGGAATTGATGGATAGAAGGGTGATTGACTCGCTCAATCAGTGGGGTAATCGACTCACTCGATCAATGAACGAATGAAGGATGTTGAATCACTCAACAAACTTAATCCGCAGAACCCTGAAGTACTTAGTGACTCACTCACAAAGAACTACAGAACAATGACAAAGACTCAAACTTTGACAAGTAGAAAACGTTTCTATTACTTTAATATGATCAAGGGTGATTTACAATGAGACTAATGATCAGCTTATATAGGGCTGAGTACAACGTTCTAAGACTTCAAATAAAGAAACAAAACATTAATGAAAATATTGGACATTAAATGTAAAATCGGTCCAAGTAAGGCAAGTGAGGTGTGCCTTGTATCTTGTCAACTTGGGGAGGAAGTTGTGACGTCTTGGAAGCTTCTGGAGGGTCTCAAGATTCTCACACAAGCGCACAAACAAAGAAGGATAGAGTTGTTGCAAGTTGATCTCCTTCGGCTCCATATATGGCAAGTAATAACTCCGCGGGTTCTTGTGTGGTAAGGTGTACCAAAGGTTGTGTGGTACATGTCTTGTGTAGCCTAGATGTTCTCCTGGTTTCCATATGTAGCTTTGAGGTGCGTCCAAGTGTAGAATAAGGAAGATTTCCTTGTTTGGCTTCATTTGACGCAGTACTTCAGAAAGTAGTTCAGCGAGTAGTTCAGCAAGTAGTGCAGCCGGTCTGTCAGCAAGTACATCAGCTATATGTACTTGTAACATCTTCGAATCAATTGCTTGGTAAATGATTCCTTGATGACTTGATGTTGCCTCGTTAAAAACCTTTCTAGGTAAACCCATTGGGACAAACCCTAGATAAGGGAAAAAGAGTGCAACGGTCAAATTTCCCCAACATGGTGATTCGGCTCGCTGGTCTTTGATTCCTCCTGAACTATCGTTAGTCTTCTTAGGGTTAATTTGCTGGTGAATAATTAACCCTAGGCTTTGTGCTTGATTAGGACTCCATTTGGGCAAGAATCCTCCAAAATGCTCCATATCAACCGGTTTGATACATGTACCGGTTGGTTTGGTATACTCCCGGTTTGGTTTGATTTGGATGTCCGCATCATACCCTCTCCCTTGAAAAAGTTTCGACCTCGAAACTGTACAATCTGCACCAAGAGAAAGCAAGTTAGCTTTCATTCGATTTTGGGAGGCTAGGGACTTACCTTGGTAGGGTGGCGGTTTGATGATGCATGGTGCATGAGGTGGCTCTCCTTTGAGCAAGAAAGATAGGATCACTCCTCTGTTTTGATCCGGTGCTTTGAGTTGTTGTTTCGCTTGCTTAACTCCTCGGGTTTGGGCTTGAGCTTTAAAATCCGGCGGTTCCTCTTTGATTAAGCAAGAGTTTGAGACTCTTCTAGTCTCCATGATGGAGGGTGTTAGCATCAATGGTGCTGGTTCACTCTGGTTTTGCCTTTGGTTCATGACTTTCTTCATCTCCGTTATATCGCCTTTGTAATTCTCTCTTGTACCTGCAATGTTGTTGACACTTTTGGCAAAGAACAAGTGCATTATACTTGAAGTTGAATCATTAAAAAGAGAGTACTTAAAGCAACGAGGAAGTATGAAATTATTCCAATATCGAATAAGATCATAGGTTCCACTTACTAGTATTTCCAATGGTTGCCTCTCCATGCTCATACTCCTTTGAACTTCATTAGCTTTATTCTCCATAGTGTGACCTGAATCAACATTCTTTGGCAAGAGCAAGTGTATCATACAAGAATTGAAACTTTCTAAACTTTTTATAACTATACTAGCATTCGGTTTAAAATCCCTTGTGGTTGACTTTTCTACTTGCCTAGTTGAACAATTTGCAGCAAAATGTCCCCTTTTATGACACCTATAACATATCATTTCTTTAGATTTAGAAAGGTTAGAAAACTTACCTTGCTTTAGTTCAGGGTGTGGTTCAGCATGTAGTTCAGAGTGTGGTTCAACGTGTGGTTCAAGCAACGAAATTGCACTCAACTTCTTTTTCTTTACTTGAGATGTTGACTTAGACTCAGTCTTCTCCTTTAGAGCAGGTGTGGTCTCTTTCTTTGGCTTAGGGATGAAAGCTCTCTTAGGTGTAGCCTTCGGTTTTGCTAGAATCCATCTTCTTGGCTCGGGATTGGCGTAGACTCGTAGATTGTATTGACGCATGTCGCCAGCATCTTCCACGAACTCTTCATACAAAAGTTGCTTCATTTCTTCCCAAGAAGCGTCTGGTTCGTCATATTCAAGACGAATGTATGCATCTTGTTCCCAACGCCTAAAGGCATCCTCGGTTAAGGTATCCTCCGCATAAATCGTCTTTTCTTCCTCCGGAATTTGGTTAGTTGATAACCAATCTTCCATCTCTTGTTCCCAACGCAAATAGGCTTCTGGTCCTTGGTGATGGCCTGCAAAGTTTATGTAACGAACTTCATCTCTTCCTACCACACTTACGTCTTCATCCACTTCGGTGTATTCTTCACCGGAATCATCTCTTCCTACCACACTTACGTCTTCATCTGCTTCGGTGTATTCTTCACCGGAATCATCTCTTCCAGCCTCACTTTCGGCTTCATTATCCTCATCAAACTCTTCTTTAGATTCTGGTTCGTCACCATAGCTTGTTGGAGACTCGTCTAAACTGATTTGGGAATCAGTTTCTTCACACCATGGTTTGACTCCATCGTTTGATGCGTCCTCATAATCATCCTCGGGTATCTCGCACCATGGTCTGTCCTCTTCTTGGTGCCCTTCCTCATGGTCAGAGTAAGGTATCTCACACCATGGCCTATTTTCTTGGTTTGGCTCCTCTTCATCGGACTCACACCATGATTTTTCTCCATAGGGCTCGTCGGCATTGCTCTCTTGGTCAGTCTCTCCTCCGTACCAACCTTGGTGGCTCGTGGTCTCTTGGGATGGGTCTGGTGGCTCGGGTTCACGTTCTTCTCCATCTGGTTCATACCCAAATTCTGAACTAGAGTAATCCTCACACCACGATCGTCCTTCATAGCCATCATCTTCTCCGGTTAAGCTTTGGCTCTTATCTTCCTCATCTTGCCAATCAGCCTCGTAGGTATAATTCTCGTCCTCTGACTCCATTATCACTTCTGAATTTTAGGGGGCGTACCTCACAAACACAAAGAAGGAAAAGTGTGTCAAAGAGTAGTTCAACAAATATGGCAAGAACAATAATTATAAACAAAATAAGGAAATATATATTTTATTTTGCTTTTCTTTTCTTTTTCTTTAAACAAAATCGAAAATATATAGGAAAAAACAATTTTTTTTTTCTCTTTTCTGATTTTATATAAATAAAATTTCGAAAACTAATAAAAAAATGATTTTTTATGGATTTTTCTTTTAATAATTATAAAATAAATAATAAATTGAAGCAAATAATTTTTTTTTTTTTTTTTTTAATGAAAGTACTGAAGCAAATAAACAATAACAAAGCAAGAAACAAAATATTTATTTTATTTTGAATTTTATAAAAATCAAACAACAAAACTGAAAAATAGAAAAAGATATAGGTTGAAGAGATACAACCTTGGGGGTAGGAGCTTTTAAAGCTCTGATACCAGATGATACAAGATTGGAATCACTCCAACTTTAGATCACTTGATGATCAAGAGATTCCAAGCTTTTCACGCGGAAGGTGGGATGATGAAGGTGGTGATCTGACACGATGGCGGTCGCTTCTCTCGTGTGGGATCGATTCAAGGGGAATTGATGGATAGAAGGGTGATTGACTCGCTCAATCAGTGGGGTAATCGACTCACTCGATCAATGAACGAATGAAGGATGTTGAATCACTCAACAAACTTAATCCGCAGAACCCTGAAGTACTTAGTGACTCACTCACAAAGAACTACAGAACAATGACAAAGACTCAAACTTTGACAAGTAGAAAACGTTTCTATTACTTTAATATGATCAAGGGTGATTTACAATGAGACTAATGATCAGCTTATATAGGGCTGAGTACAACGTTCTAAGACTTCAAATAAAGAAACAAAACATTAATGAAAATATTGGACATTAAATGTAAAATCGGTCCAAGTAAGGCAAGTGAGGTGTGCCTTGTATCTTGTCAACTTGGGGAGGAAGTTGTGACGTCTTGGAAGCTTCTGGAGGGTCTCAAGATTCTCACACAAGCGCACAAACAAAGAAGGATAGAGTTGTTGCAAGTTGATCTCCTTCGGCTCCATATATGGCAAGTAATAACTCCGCGGGTTCTTGTGTGGTAAGGTGTACCAAAGGTTGTGTGGTACATGTCTTGTGTAGCCTAGATGTTCTCCTGGTTTCCATATGTAGCTTTGAGGTGCGTCCAAGTGTAGAATAAGGAAGATTTCCTTGTTTGGCTTCATTTGACGCAGTACTTCAGAAAGTAGTTCAGCGAGTAGTTCAGCAAGTAGTGCAGCCGGTCTGTCAGCAAGTACATCAGCTATATGTACTTGTAACATCTTCGAATCAATTGCTTGGTAAATGATTCCTTGATGACTTGATGTTGCCTCGTTAAAAACCTTTCTAGGTAAACCCATTGGGACAAACCCTAGATAAGGGAAAAAGAGTGCAACGGTCAAATTTCCCCAACATGGTGATTCGGCTCGCTGGTCTTTGATTCCTCCTGAACTATCGTTAGTCTTCTTAGGGTTAATTTGCTGGTGAATAATTAACCCTAGGCTTTGTGCTTGATTAGGACTCCATTTGGGCAAGAATCCTCCAAAATGCTCCATATCAACCGGTTTGATACATGTACCGGTTGGTTTGGTATACTCCCGGTTTGGTTTGATTTGGATGTCCGCATCAGATACTGAAGCCATCTTTTGCAAAGAAGCTAAATGCGGATGGTTTTAGTCCGTTGCATCTCGCTGTTGAGAACCAGCAAGATAAGTTAGCACGAGAGCTAGCCAAGTTTGATCCCAGTCTTGTGCGAATTCGTGGAAGAGGAGGTACTGTTCTTGTTTCAAAATCTCTTTTTTTTGTTAAAATTTAAGTTTCAAAATCTTTAACAAAATATACTTTAAAACATATAATATAGACTTACTTGTTTTTTTTTGTTTTTTGTTTTTATCTTATAACGACGACAGGTATGACACCGTTGCATCTTGTGGCAAGGAACGGTGATGTCGAACTTCTTACTGAGTTTCTTCTAGCATGTCCTGAAAGCATTACAGATGCGAATGTAAATGGAGAAACTGCTTTACACATCACGGTTATATATGATAGATTTGAAGAGCTCAAACTTCTCACAGGGTGGATGCAAAAACGCCGCAATAGTGTCGGTGCATTCACCGAGATTCACGTTCTGAACAGACGCGACCGTAATGGCGACACTGCTTTGCACCTAGCTGCAGACAGGAACAATCACAAGGTATGTACTTTCCATTTTTTTGTCTCTTAAAGTCACTCTTCTTTGAACTTTTGTTTTATCGTCTGTAAGTTAATTACTATATATATATCCTAGTCTATAATTGGGATGTGGTCCAATATAACCCACGTACTATCAGAAATAGACCTAAAAACACTGTTAGATCTTAAATTGTAGAGGATCCTATCCTAACAAACTCATTTTATGACATTACATTATGATCATATTTATATTGGTACTAATAAACTAATTAAATATAAATTGATATTTATATACAGGTAGTGAAAAAGCTGTTAAAATGTATGACACTGGACCGGAACATCCAGAACAACAATGACATGACGGCCCTTGATGTCTTACGAGCCAATAGATCTCCCATGAGTAAAGATACAGAGAAAATCATTAAAAAGTCTGGTGGTAAGACTAGATGCTCTCTATCCAAAGTTGAGAAAATGTCTGAGTTCCTGAGAAAACCGGTCACATTTAGGGAATATTGCAAAACGAAACTGATACGTTACCGGAGTCACGTGACGGACGGATCACGGAACGCTCTTCTAGTAATAACAGCTTTGATAATCACAGCTACTTATGAGGCTGTATCCGACCCGAAAGAATTGAAGGGAGAAGTTACTTGGCATGCAATCATATTAAACGTTCTAATGATATGGGGATTCAATACAACAGCCTTTATCGCATCTATCGTGTTGACATTTATACTCTTACCAGTTGGTAGAGCATATACTCGGTGGTATATGTTTATTACGGTGCCTCTCGTCTGTTCGTATGCAATTTCGATCTACATGATGTATGAGTCAGTGGCACTCATCATCTTGTATCTAATGATCCTATTCGGATTCCTCGTGTATTTACTGGTATTCTATGTTAGGTGGAAACGGACTACGCTGAAGAAGGTGTCGAAACCCAAAATTGAACTGATTTCGCAGGACTTCACCAAGACCACGGTTTAGCAATTTCAAGCGTTGGTTTGTTCCCTGTAAAACTTTTCTTGTTATTGTTAGTGATAATTGAGTTTGGTCATTTGTTATTTTATATATATATAAGTGTGTGTGTGTGTTAAAGTTTTATGTATTAAGAGTCATGATCCGTATAAGTTAGGTATTTGTCAAGAGTCGTAAACAAAAGAAGAGACACAACTCTTCATGTTGTTTTGTTTTTATTGTTTCACGTCTATAGATAAAGACGTTGTCTTTGTATTGTAACTATATCATTCAGATTTTCAATAAAACAAAGTTGTGTGTTTCGTGCATAAGAGAATCGTTTATCCTCTGTTATTGACTATATGAACAGTACCAATTTATTTGGTGATGATTAAGTCAATATAAACTCAACACTCAGAAAAAATTATGCAATCATATATATCTACAAATTTAATCAACGAAAAATGCTTCAACTCGTTTCTTCTGACCCTTCTTTAATTTGTACACACTCATTTTGGAAAATACTCTTAAAGACTGTATATGTACCTGTTTTAAGGTTCAACCTAAGGTTACTTAAGAAAGCAAAAAGGTGTTTTATGAGGCAGAAATTTTATAATTTACCTTAAAAGGGATTCAATACATCCATCCAATGCATAGGTCTATTATATCAAAAGTGCACTGAAGAAGAAAGAAATGAGACGCTAAGATGCGGAGGTAACTGCAACTTGGGTGGTTTCTTTATCCTTAGCCTCCTTAAGTTGCTTCCACTTCTCAATGGTGTCGATAAGTTCCCCTGTTTTGATCAGATATCTTACCTTCTGTCCATCTTCAAGCACCTTGTGACCCACCCGGCTTACTACGTCTTTTTCTTTTGAATACAACATCACATTTGAGCTGTGGATAGGTGCTTCTATCTGGAAAGAATAATACATTTTGCACAATCTTTAATCATCATCACTCCAATCTTGCAAAAATAAAACAGTGAAGGAAGCTACAAAAATATGGTTTCTGACCTTAACAATTTGACCAGGTTCTCCCTCTTCTTTGCTCTTCATGTGTTTTGTTTTGAGGTTAACATCTTTGATCACAATGGTACTGTTGTGAGTGAAGATCTTAGTGACCTCTCCGATTTTACCCTTGTCGCGTCCAGATATCACTTTCACCGTATCTCCAAACTTGACATGCATTTTGTGCAGAATCGGAAGACTGTTTGGTTTGCATTCTTTTCGTTCCCAACGCTTGAGCTGAAAAGGCAAACACATAAAAAGTAATTGAGCTAAAGAACTCTCAAGTTTTCTTGTGGTTGCAGAATGAAAAGTACAAAGTTTGATGTAACGGATCTTTGGACTAACCTTTGCAAGAACAAGACATGGGTTCTCCGCGGGCTTGACCTGCAAATGAGTACAAGAAGATAAGCCGAGTAATAAGGAACCATCCAACTGCAGGTTGCACTCAACATAAAAGCAGTAAGCAAACTAGCAAAAACCATTCTTCTGACTCAAATAAAAACTCGCAGCTGTGTTCAACCAAAACCTTAAGACAACCAAATTTACAAGAGAACACTTTCTTCTGTAAAAAAAGTGAGCCAATGCTAAACAGGTATGTTCATAACGCAGAGTAACACTAAAACATAGACAATGCACAAAATTTCATATCCCAATAAGCAGAATTCATCGATTCAATTTATCAAATTTTCACTCGTTTGAGAGATATTTGTTGAACTGGGTTTGGATTATCAAAAGCGAACAAATGAACCTAATCTATAACGCACTCAATTAAACAACATAACCTTAGAGCTTGAACATGATTAAAAGCCTAAATCGACCAGAAATCGAAAATTAAAGTTACCGGAGAAGCAACGGAGAGGGAATTCGGGGAAAGTAAACGCTGGCCGAGGAAGGAAGAGTTGGGAGATAGAGAAAGAGAAGTAAAAGAGCTCTGAAGAGCAGACATGGTTGCCATTTTTTTCTTGCTCTGCAACTTTCACACTTGTTTCTTCTTCTTCGTCCTATCCGTTCGACAGATGACGATAAAACTTGGATAACGATTAAATGACACCGTTTAAAAGCACAAGTTAATGGGCTGGGTTAGATTTGTATTGGGCTTGTATAAACCATAGCCCAAACAAATGGTTCTCCATTGTTAGAACGTTAAGCCGTTTCAATTCAACAGTAAAAAACAAAGAATAATTTTTTCAATTCACAAAAGAAAGATATAGACAACCTACATACATCAACATCATCATCATTTCTCCTAACGTCTAAAAATCCAAAAAAAAATTGAAAAGAAATCACATTTTAAAAGTTAATAATAATTAAAAAATTTGGTCCTTTTATCTTTTTGTTTACAAAATCACAAGTCTTCAGCTATACTACTGTCCACGGAATTATCCCTCCGATGAGTTTCTGATCGTAATGATCCGTTTGCGGTTAGCTCACCTTCTGACTCCTCCACTATCGGAGGAGGAGGAGGAAGGCGAGGAGAAGGCGACGGAGAATTCTTCTGTCGTTTTCTGCAATGTCTCACCTTAATAACACGAGTCAAAACCTGGACAATGTCCCTCATGTTGGGACGTTTTCTAGGTGCACGAGAGATGCATTTGTAAGCAAAAGCTGCAACTTCATTCACTTCTTGTAAATCAAATCTCCCATCTAATCTTGAATCCACTATCTCTTCCCACCCAACTTTTTCCTCTGCATTCATCGCCGCCTGTTCATCAACAAACAGAAAGTTTAAGGTCTTTATGTGTTAAGCGATCGGAGATATTAAGGATTTTTTTTAGTTTTTATATTACCAGCTCAACCAATTCCATTAGACCTTGTTGAGGATTTCTTCCTGCTATAAGCTCGAATAGCAAAACCCCGAAGCCATAAACGTCGCTTTTCTTGGTGAATGTTCTTGTGGAAATGTATTCTGGATCGAGATAGCCAAATGTTCCTCTGATGTTAGCAGCATGTTTATCAACCATTTCTTCTCTGGAGAGGCCAAAGTCAGCAACCTAGAAAGTAAAAGACAATCCACCATGAGAAACTTGAAGTGGTTAATAGAGTGAGATTTCCAGGAGAATGAAGACATATTTACCCGAGCTCTCATGGATTGGTCTAACAAAATGTTGGAAGATTTGATATCTCTGTGGATTACAGGAGGAACCGCCTGGAAAAAATTGAATGGAAGCATTGATATTGAGGTTGTGTTTCTCAAGAGATGCATTAAGATGGTGGATGGTTTCAGAAATTAGCTTACCCCATCATGAAGATACTCTAAACCTCGTGCCACATCTAAAGCAATATATACCCTCAAATCCCAGCTCAACGGTTCATGTTTTTCGCCTGTATCAGAAGTAATATTTTAGTGCATCTCAGATCTTTTTGAAGGCTCATCAATAGGTGAAGTCTAAACCACCAATTCAATAAATATGTCATAAAGAAACCGAATAGTTCAATATTTCATTGACAATTCATTTAGTGACAGCAGATTTTTATGGTATGTAGAAATAGGTAGTTGCTTACTGTATAAATGAGAAGCTAAGCTTCCTTTACTCATGTAGACATATATAAGCATGTGTTGGCCTTTCTCTGCGCAATATCCAATCAAGTTCACTAGGTTACGATGATGCAACCTTCCCAATAACATAACCTGAAAAGAGTAGGCGAGTGGATGAGTTTATCAAGAAACTGAAGCAGAGACTAAGAGAGTAAGAGATATGGATGGTTCATGTGGCCTGTCTTATAGATGACACAACTTATGGATTCAGTACTAGAGATTTCAGAAAGCTTATTGTAATGCTTAAACGTCTGCCTAATGCTACATTTTACTAAACTAATTTGTTCTTTGGAAATGAATATCATACAGAATCATCAGCTACAATCCATGGATATATCTTACCTCTGTCTGAAACTCTTTTTCGCCTTGTTTGGAATCAGTGGCAAGAACTTTCACAGCCACAATCTCACCAGTAGACATTTGAGCTTTGTAGACAGGTCCAAATGCTCCTTGGCCTATCAAAGTCGTGAAATTACATGTCGCTTTCTGCAAATCCCTGAATAAATCACCGAAGAACATATGTCAAAAACGGTATATAACTTCAAGAATGCAAGAAATTATCATATCCACAACACCAGATCCAACTATACACACTAAAACATGACATAGATCCCAGCATTCCCTTCCTAGTGAACTTACAAACATGGAAATAATGGCCAAAGTACTACTATAACAAGAGAAGTCTAGTCCTCAATATAAGACAGTAAACAATAATAACCTTATCAGGAAACTTTGATCAAGAGAATCTTGTCAGAGGAGGAGACAAACCTGTAAGAATATTCCAAAATGCCAGAAGCAGAGATAACATTACTCCTCTTACTAAACCCTTCAAGCCAAACAGACCTCCCATTCTTGGAAGATTTCACAGGCGAATCAGGACCAATGGTCGAATCCGACATAATGTTACAAGAATCAGCTCCATTCTCTCTGATAGGAATGGTAGCACTTCTTCTTGAACCACTATTAACAATCTGAGACCTTTTTCTATGATACCTAAAGCAAAACAAAGCTGAAATAGCTAAAGCAACACCAATCACCAAACCTAATGAGATTCCAACAATCAAACCAAATGATTCTCCTTCCATTGTCAAATAATGTTATCAATCCCTCAAGCCTCAAGCTTTTTTAAACGTCTCTGCAAAAAAAAATAATGGATCAGAGATGAAGTATTTGTTTAATGGCACAATGTCAGACGAAGAGGAGGACAACAACTCATTTCTCAATTAAGAAAATTAGCTAACGTTGACCATCGTCGAACTCTTCAACAAAAGCTTGCCGAGAAAATTAATACCTCAACACGATAAAATTACTGAGATTCATGAAGCTCAGAGATTGAAATCAACTTCAGAAATTGAAGTTAAAATCCAGCGGCTATAGATCCCGAGGAAGAAGGATTTGAAAATGAATCTAGAGAATCGCGCAAACTTTTGAAACGCCGCTTTAAAACTTTTCTTTATATCCCTAAATTTCGTCGTTTACTTTTCCATTATTTCGTCTTCTTCTTCAGCAACCAAACCCCAAAGAAGACTTTATCAACAAAAATTCCCAAGAAACAAAAAAAAAAAAAATCACACCTACTACACAAAACAACAACAACGAAAAGAAAAACAGGAGAGTCGAATTTTACCTGTAGAAATGTGTAGGATTATAGGAAACTGGTGCATTTTAACAGAGGATCCATAAGAATGAAAAGTTATGAAGAGAAAAAAAATAGTCGAGAGCTTTGCTTTGATTACAGAGAAAAGAATCCAAAGAGTGAGAAAGAGACTGAGAGAGAGGTTCTGCTTCAAGCAAACGATTACAAATAAAAAGGTAACAAAATTTAGCTTTTTTGTCACTTTTTTTATTTATTTATTAATGTTGTAATGTGTTAAAATTAAAAAAGTTTATGGAAAATTCAAATTTGGTTTTTACAAATGTAACAACGTCTGCTTCAAACTTTAAAACAATGAAACGGAAAGCTTTTTTTTTTTTTAACTTTAATTATTTGTTTAATTAAAATGACGTTACTACTCCTATAATTGAATTCTCTAGATTTTGAGTGTTTTTTCGATATTCTTTAAGCATCAAATTAAAGAAGATTTATGTGATAATTTTATGTTGTTTGGTATGAATAGTTTATATCCTTCGATTACAAAATTAGTGGTTGATAGATTTTGTCTTTTATATAGAAAAAAAGTAACAAGCTCATGGTAATAACATTAATCCTTATCTACTAATTTTGACTATTGACTAACATATAAAATTATATTATTGTGACTGAAATGTAAAAAAAAAAAAGTGGTAGACTTCAGATAGCTGATAGTAAAATATTTTACGCAAAAATAGAAAATGCATTGGGACTAGGTTGCATGGAAACGGAAACGCGGAAACGAAACGTGTGGAAACGTGGAAACGGATTTTTAAAAAAATTACGAAATGGAAACGTTTTGGAAACATGTATATATATATATATATATTTATATGAAACACTAAACATCAAAATAATATTAAAAATATATTTTAAATAACATAAATTATTAATAAAAATATTAAATAGTCTAACTAAAATAATGATAACAACACTCAAAATAAAAAATTAAGACCATATATCATGATCACAAATAAGAAAATAAGTGTTTCATATTCCTCATACTAATTAAGTTTTTTTTAAAAAAAATATCAAATATATACTTATATTTCTAAAATTAATTTTTATGTTTCAAAAGAAAAAATTAAGTTTCCAATGTGTTTCCAAAATGGAAACGTACGTTTCCATCGCGTTTCCAAATTGACTTTTTAAGGAAACGTGTTTCCATGACGTTTCCACGCGTTTCTGAGAGTTTCCGATTCCAAAACGTTTCTGAAACGGGAAACGCACTTCGGATGGAGTTTCTATGCAACATAGCATTGGGATATAAAAATTTTAAAAATGTTAATTGTGTTTGTGTCGTGTGAGTAATGGGCCCCACGAATATGACTATACTTAATATGATTGGATGAATTTATCCTTCCAGATCGTACATTCTTCCATAGTGGTGACTTTCTGGTTTTCCGCGACGAATTTTCCAGGGTTTTGATTACCTGTATCGCGGTCTATTTTACTTTTCGTATACCCTCTCTATTAGTATAATTCTAACGTTTTCAAGAGTGAGAGTTTCATATGTGAAGTTAAATAAGATTTAGTTATTTAGTTTATAGATTGATGATAAAGATTATGTTATCCAAATATCGGATTTATCTTATCATTTGAGAGTTTAAAGATTAGTTAATAGGTGAGATTGAGAAGATAAAATGTGAAACTATATAGTCTATATATAACTAGTAGAAAGCAGTTACATATATCCATCTAACTTACCTAATGTCACATTCAAGATTATTAGTTGGAGCTAATTTTCATCCAAATAATGAACCTAATAAATATAAAATGAAATTTTCAAACAAAAAATAACTGCTATAGACAAAATAAGACAATGAAATTAATTCGACATGACATGAATTTATTACCGAATTATCCACACCATTTTAACAGTTTCGTGAAATCAAATTGAAGTAGTAGTATGTTTAACTTGTTTTTAGTTCTTCTGACATGATTCTAAATATTTATTGATTTAAGTAAAACCAATTAGTAAAATAGTGTTTACGTTGTGTGCACTAAAATGAATTAAACAAAGATAAAATCCCGAGATTACTGCCGCAAGTAATTCTAGTATACTTGGACAAAAATATTCACCACAAGCACACGAAACGAAACAATTTGGCACACAAATGATTGACGTAAAGCGACACTTCTGCTAACACTTCAATAATGCAATTTATAATTTAAGTGTTAAGATTTTTCTTTCTTGTCTAGAGCTTTAAAATTTTTACCCTAAACGCTAAACGAGCTGCAATGATTTTGTGCTTTTTATTTTTTTGGATAGTTTTTTATGCTAAATTTCTCTTTGTGATTAATATTTACAAAATATCAAATTTAGTAGAGGTTAAAAGAATGAAAAATAACTTTTCAATTCACTTCTTTAATTATACAGAGTGGCTATAAGCCAAACCAAGACAATCAAGAGAGCACGTGAAGATCCTCCATGTAATGTATTTGATCACTTTATCTATATATACAACATGTGTGAAAGAGATCATTTATATATATACACTAATCGGATATTGTTATTTTATCGAGATTATAATGTTTCTTTGCGTAGATTATATGTTATTTTCATTTTTCACGTTGGCGGAGGAGAGAGTGGGGGCGCAACACAAGATACTACTGTTATCTCTAGATCATAAACCTCTTCTTTTTTTCAAGAGACGTAAGCAAGAAAAGGTTTGAAGATAAATGTTTCTGTATATATATAAATTCATTTATCAATTACTAAATAATAAACTACCATGATCAAAAAAAAAAAGTATTAGCTTATGGAGGTTTTATTGTTAGTTCTAAAAAAACATTTACATGGTATCTTGGCAATATATGAGAATGGAAAGGGGAAAAAAGAAAAGAGATCTTAAATTCATTTATCAATTACTAAATAATAAACTACCATGATCAAAAAAAAAAAGTATTAGCTTATGGAGGTTTTATTGTTAGTTCTAAAAAAACATTTACATGGTATCTTGGCAATATATGAGAATGGAAAGGGGAAAAAAGAAAAGAGATCTTAAATTATATTTGGGACTTGGGAGGAAAAATAAAAGATGAATTTGATAACTTGAGAGCAAATATTCCCCAAGTTAAAAGTTTACTTGTTCCATGGTCGCATAATCATTAAGCAAGACATGTCCTCTCCACGTGCACGGTACAACCCGGCCCATGTTCTCATGTCTCCATGTATAGAATACATAAGTCGTATATGTTGCATTACACTACATTTATATATACCCACAAATTTGGAGATTTATTGATTATGAAAAGAAAAAGAAAAAAAGGGTAAGCCTACATGTGAGAATGTGATTAAAGATAAAAAAACGCGTTAGCGCCTTCTTTAGTACACTAGTAAGTAGTAATATATTAGGGTTTAAGAATTTGAGATAATTAAGGTAAAGTCTTTCATTTGATCGTGCAAATTTATTAGTATGGTCTATTTGGTTCTGCTGGATTGACGTCGAATAAGGAACTCACTAAAAGAATTAAATGGGCTTTGGCGGTGGGCCTTGGCGGTTGGTCTTGCCCATAATATGGCCACACAAAAAAAATCACTCAAGAAACTGTGACTCTCACAACACAACATTCAAATCTTCAAAGCCCAACAAAGATTTGGATGGAGAAAAAACATATAAATCAACCAACCATTCAAAATCAATAAGTTTGTACATGTCAATATGTTTAGAAAATCTGACATAAATCAATATGTTGGTAACTAAAATAAAACAAATTTTACAGACTTAAATGTTTTTCTGTAAATTATAGTATCATACATTCACGGAAAAATGGGTAAAAAAACCCTTACCTTTCTTAAAAACATAGAAAAAACCCTCAACTTTTTTTGTGTGTTTTTAAACCCTCACCTTTTTATATATGGTTAAATAAACCCTAATATTAATAAACTCAATTTAATTTTTTAAAAATCATTATATTAAAACAGTAAGTAACAAAAAAAAATTAATTTATGATTTTTTATTTTAAATTTGAGTTTACGATTTTTTTTCTTCTAAAATTAGGGTTTTTGTGCTATGAACATTTATTCACCATTTAGTTGAGATTATGCAAATTATTTTTGTTATAATTAGAAGTTATGTTATATAAACTACAAAATTTATAGGATATCACATTTGATTTTTTTTTATTCGAGTGTTCAGGTTTTGGATAAAATATAGTTAAATAATGATTAATTAAATTTAATTTATATTATATTTTAATATATCGTAATATATATATATATATATATATATATATATATATATATATATAGAAATATTAATTGTTAGTAAATCTTATTTAGTTTGTCCAATGAAAATATTTTGATGTGGAAATTCATGTACTTTTCATAGTATTATAAAATTTGGTTTGGTTTTACGTTAGTAAATTTGTGTGGTCGAACCTAATAAACCTTTATTAATATAAACTCATATTCGGTTTCGATATAAGAATTTACATATAATTCGTAACAAAATCTGTTTGGTTTCACGTTGATGAATTTTTGTAACACACCGAATAAAACTTCACTAATTAACTTTTTTACATCATGACTTACATATTTTCAATTTAGAAAAATATTGTAAACTAGAATTTTAGAAGAAACACCCGCAATCAAAATTTTCCTATTTATTTATGTTTTAGTATAACAATTTTTTGAATTTAAATTAAGTTTTTTAATACTAGGGTTTATTTTACCATTTATGAAAAGGTGGGGGTTTAAAAACCCAGAAAAAAAGTTGAGGGTTTTTTCTATGTTTTTATGAAAGGTGAGGGTTTTTCTACCCATTTTTCCTACATTCACGGAGTAGTACTTTAAAAAAAACTACATATTAACACTACCTAATCAAAAAAATATTTGGATACAAGATTTTCGTAACTACCAAACATTGTAACTTGTAAGGTTTGATTACTAATTTTAGAGGATCAAAAGATTAGCTGGCAAATATTATAAGTTTGGGGAAAAATTGGAATTTTTTTTTCTAAATTGGCTAGTTTGCCAGTTAATGCTTTTTTTCCCTTACCAACTTTGTAAAGATTTGTAGTGATTGATATCTGAAACAAACAAATAAAGTCATGTTATTCTTTCCTCGCAATACAATAATTTATTTGTAAATCGCCTCATTATTTACAACTTCACTCTTTACCTTCAAAATATGAAAACAAAGTCGTCATTCAATTTCTGTTTGGATGTATGTGTAATGTGTTCGGTTGATGCAGTACTCTGACATGACTTAGTCATATTGGTACTCTACGTGTTGCATAGCCCAAACTCGGTTTGTTTGAGTTTTGCATAAGTTTAGATTTCGGTGGTAGTAACTAGTAATATCAAAGAAATATATACATTAATGATACATCTTTCCATTAACATTAACATATTTATTAATATATTATACACATAAATTTCACCACAAACTAAACTCAAAACATGAACGGAGTCGGTGAGAATGCCGGAATCACCGGTTCAAAAGCATTTCTCCTGCAAAACCCATAAAACAATTAAGAAACGTCAAAACATTTCTTTTGCCATTTTATAAACACAAATTTTAATTAAATTATTATGGTTACCTTGCCATTTACGACTACTTCTATTTACTCAAATAAACAACAAACATACTGATGTTGACTTCTCAACTATATCGAATCTTTATCCACAAAATATCATCTTAACTACCATCTTTATCTTCTATTCATAATCTTCATACTTATCTTTATAAATTACATTGACGATGTTATATAATTTTTTTGTTAATAACAACTTGATACCCAACAAATTATTAAGTTTAGTACATTTTTTAATCACCATGACTAAACTATTTGTTAAAACCATGACTAAATTTCTATTATCGTAAATCTACCCTAACCTTAATTAGCACAAAAGCATCATATAAATTTGCTAGAAATGTGTTGTTACCCGAAATCGTCACTACGGAAACGAACATGACCACCGCCGGAACGTGACGACGCGTCACCGCCGCCGTTAGCTTCACTTTTCCGACGAACTTTCTTCTTTTCTTCGTCCTTTTCCGATATCTTCGTTATTGCCGGTTTGTTCTCGGAGATAACGCTAAGCGACGGTCTCCACTCTGCCACTTGTCCAGGTTGACCAGCCACTCTAACGCGTTTCCGCCGCCTCCGCTGTTTCATTAGCGTTTGCGTTTCGTCTGAAACCGAATCTTCTACGGTTGCGGCGGATTCTTGGAACTGTTGTGAACCAAAACAAGGCACGACGAGCTCCAACAAGTATTTCATATCCTACACGTCACCACACCTGATCACTTCTCTTCCTTTTATAAAAAAACTTTTGACGTTTTAATCTTTAAAAGGTTTTAAGAATGGAATTGATTCTTAAAGAGGCTAATATTGGAGGATATTTATAGATCATGTCACAGGTTAAGAAATTGGAGTGATGATTCTCTTTGTGGAACAAAAGCAATTTATAGAAAGAAGTTGAGAATCTTGACGTTATGACTCACTTGATTACGTGGACATGATTTGTTACATTATTACGAAACTGCCTTTGTTTGGTCTTATCTTAAACCGGAGTTGGTTTATATATAGTTGGTTCACCTAGAAATCGATAGATGAACTAAAATTCTAATTAGCCTAATTTTATTGACTGGTTGATGATTATAATAGTTTCCAAATGCAATTTAAATTCTTCTTTTTTTTGTAATAGAGAAATCTTATGAAGAATACGGTTGGTTTCACTGGAGCAAGCAACGAAATGCCAAAGGATTCATGTAAAATGATATAGCGATAAAGAGAAGAAGAGACAATTAATTAAACGATCGTTTTTGACGTAGAATCATATAACATTGTCGACGTGAATCACTTTTGTTTCCGTAACTGGAACTTGTATTCTTCGTATACAAAATGTTTTTATTGATAATATTTTTGGACCACTTATTAATATTTGTCGACGACATATATTTCATTATTTTTTGTGGTTCAGAAATGAATGAATTTTGGCACCTATAGAATTATATGATGGTCGTTCATGTTTTTTCACTTGGATTCATCTGCTTTAGCTTTACATGTTCAAAAATCAAAATTTAAAATACACATGTAAAAATTAAGTTTGAATCTAGTTTAGGTGTGGATCTGGTTTTATTTTCATTCTGATTTGGATATTTTATATATACGTCTACTTAATTTGTTATAATCTTATATACAGTAGCACTTTTAAGTTTGCGATGGGATTTGAATTTCGGTTTACATCTTTTGGGGTGGTAGCCTTGTAGAAGAAATTAACCCAACTAAAACAGTTTTTTTTTTTTTTTTTTTTTTTTTTTTTTTTTTTTTTTTTTGTAGTTTCTTTTAAATTTGGTTTTGATCGGTTCATCTTATGATCAATGTTAATATTTGTTATGGAGTGAACTATATATAGACGTATTCTTGGTCTAAACTAACTAAAATCATTCAAAATAAATATCACTATCATTTTTTCTCTTGGGGACTTCAATATCGTACTTGTACAATTTATCAAAAACAAATATGGTTTTTATTCTCAAGTACGTAAAAATGATATGATGTTACTTATATCTGCATGTGCTTAATTATTATACGTGGCAATGAGAAAACCTTATAATAAAATGTAAATAGTAAGAACTAAAATAGAAACTCCTGTAGATAAGAACTATATTAAATATAGATCATATCAGGCTCATATCTCCTAACGATATAGAAAATGAAATGGTCCAACTTAATTCATGAAACGTATAATTAAACGGCTTCATTTTAAAACCATAATTCAACCACAGAGAACGACTCATCTAAAATGATGTCACATTTGAAAGTAATCACTCATGCGGCGCAACAAAAACGACGATGACTCATCTTGCTATAACTTGTTTTTACTAAACTAAAATAATATAAATATGCATGCCTTCATTTTCTCATTAATACCACGACTTTGTAGTTTATATGAAAAATGAAACTAATCAGTTTTGTTATGTTGCTACTTGCTAGGTGTCATGGGCCAATAACGAACGTAATCATAAGATATATTGATGGAACATTGATTTGAATCTATAATCCTAACCCACACGATCGAATAGAATGAGAAATAACAAGAAAGAAAAGAACTGATACGTTATCCGATTGGAAACATTACCATTTGATTAGTTTAGGTAGTTAAATTTGACTTGTGCCCACTTCACAAAACAAAGAAACATTTGTACACGTTGCGGTCGACATATGTAATTACAACTAACTTTTAATTGCGTCTAAGGATTATAGATCAAAACAACAAAACATATCACTATTACCATTATAAGCTAAGAACAATCCAAAAATGGGTATCGTTATGATTTTGGAGTAATATGATGAGTTGTGAAATTAAAATACAAATTTGGTTGCATGAGAAAGAGGGAATTGTCTCACCAAACGTAATAGGACAGCGAAGGAATGTTATAGTATGAACGGTATCTCTTTGCATAATTTTGTTTCCTTTTTTGTCTTTATAACATTTATTTCATAAATTTATAAATTTATGTAGACCATTAGTATTTGGGATGATATTTTCTTTTGTTTTTGTTCGGTCCACATGTTATACAAAAATGTTCGTATAGATTCTAGACATCTCCACGTGAAATTGTGAGAACTCAATGTTGTTTTGCATGTTGTGGCCCAATGACTTATTCCCATTTGTTATAATCATCACTTTTAATGTTAAGTGGTTGCATCAAAACGAAAATTGTGAGTTAATGATTGGCTAATGGTTACGGACCCATTGAGAAAAATAATAAAGAAATCAAAACAAAAGTAGAAGCATATATATTGAAAGATATTGTGGTAGACCAAAAATCAACAAAACTAAACCGGATCTGAATTTTTCATAACCCTATCAATCACAATTTAAACCGGTCCAATCAAGAAAACCACAAACAACAAAACGGTGACGTTTAAAGTCTTTGAGACTTAGCCATATAAGCAAAATCCTCATCTCTTTCTCTTAAAAAAGCTATTATACTTAATACTTTGTCTTGTAAATGACAGTTTCTGATTATTCCTTCAAAATATAATTTGAAGTTTTTGATCTTCTAAAGGTAATAACAAGAAATGAAGCACAACAGTTCGATCATAAAAGAGGATACAATGAAGCATAAATATGAATATAAAGATTCATAAGAATCGAACAAAGCTATTTCTCTAGCGGTTACCATAGTATGGAGGACGAGACATGTTGTTCTGAGGTTGATATGGCTGCGATTGCTCTCTTGGTCTTGCATACTCTGCGAATATGACCCAGCCATCAAGAAACTGCAGAGAAGCACAGAGAGGAGATTAGCCATTTTGTAACTGTCAGTGTAAATCTCTTAATAGATTTTGATTTGTGTAATCGAGGAATGGATATTAGAATGAATAGTACCTTTCCATCCATTCCAGCTATGCCTTTTGCAGAATCTTCTAAGGTGGCATATCTAACAAATCCAAACCCTTTGGAATATCCTGATACTCTGTCTGTGACAACCTTAGCTACAAAACCAATTTGAGAGAAAGGAATCATTACAGTTAGTTTTCTTCAGGACTAATCTGATGCGCATAAAGTGTCATAACAAGGAACACACCATCAGCAACTTCTCCAAACTGAGCAAACGCGGTCCTAAGTCCTTCAGAAGTGGTGCGCTTACTAAGCCCTGAAAATATCCAGCGGCACAAAGATAGTCCTTTAGCTATAAACATTTCAGCTTCATGAATAAGTATAACATGACTAAAAGACACTTGAGGAAACTGAGACACAGCATCTAAACTAAATAGGACTTAGGTGGCTTACGAAAAGATAGTAATCAGACATAACATGTACGTATTAGATGTGCTATATACATGGCCCTTGACCAAACTTTCAGATATTCAAGGACCATGTGATCAAAGTGACTAAGTGAGAAACAGAGTGTATATGCATCAAAGCCCAATGTTAAGCTGCATATCAAAACGAATTGACACTAGGAAGAAATTTAAATCACACAAAACCATCTCTCGTTGCAAATACATAAATCTAAATCTCAGCTTCATTTCTCAAACACATATAAATCAAAATCTAAATCTAAAACATTCAGTTCTAATCAAATGTTCAAAGCTACTTATACTTCATAGGTTATATGATTTTGGATTCTCAGCAAGATTCTTCAGGGGAAATTAAAAAAGTAAGTAGAGATACATCTTCGTTGATGTTCTAAGAACCTGATAGTCTAAATCTCAATTCAAAAGGAAGGATCTTTAAACGGCATCAAATAGAAACCCACATAGACTCGAACAACGATAAACCCCAAAAACCCAGAAATGAATTGAGAGACTAAAAGGGGTTTGTTACCGGAGACGAAGAGATTGGTGCTAGGTTCAGCCTGAGGACGAGCCGGTGTTTGGGATTCAGCTTGTGGAGACAAAAAAGAGAACCTTGAAGCATTTGAACAGAATAGTCGTCTCAAACCAACCGGAGCCGAAGCCGAAGCCGAAGCCACTTCCGTCACCGCTCTAGATATCGCCGGAAGTCTCATAGCCATCGCCATAGATTCAATTGATTGATCGGAACGTATTGATTCTTCTTCTTCGGATTTAAGGAAAAAAGGTTTCAACTTGAAAAAGCTAAAACCCTAAAGAAAAAAGCAGAGAACAAACAATAGATTGATTTTTTGAGAAGAAAGGTTTTTGCGAAAATGAGTAATTTTTACTAAAGGAGTCAGAAGATGACCTAAAAAAAATACTTAAAATGACGGATATACCCCTGTATTACTTCAAAATTATCATACACGTTATTTATAATCTATGTTCAAAATATGCTAGCCGCTAATTAGCTCTAGTCAGCCGCTCGAAACGGACGTTGCCCAAATAAGAAAATCAGGGAAGAGTTAATCGGGGACTAGTTAAAATGTATTAAACACTAAAAAGCTAGTTTTAGTAAATTAATCATTTTTTCTAGTTATATTTTTAACACAGGAATTATATATAGTAGAATCCTTTTTTAAAACGTGAAAATTTGATATATATTATAAATGATAAAAATAGTAGAAAAAGTGAACAAATGGTATACCATTCATCTTCATCAATTTATATGATATCTTTTATATACGAAGAAAATGTATTGAACAAACTCAGTACAAATGTAAATAAGGACTAAACAAAACATAATTATGCATTAGTGATTTTACAAATGACATAAATATTATTATTTTTTTCTTACAAAAGAGAGAAAGAATCGGTGCTTTCACATTAATATATATAACATATTATCAGATATTCTCAAATTATTTTGTGGTGATCTCTCCTAACTAACCCGATCTTTGATATCATCGAATCATCAAGGCGGCTTGCATCTTAAGGAACCATCATTGAAAACAATCA